AGAAATTAAGGCCGGTTTCCATAGTAAAATTTTGCTTTATTTATGATTTCTTTATTTTTAGCATTTGTTTAGATTTATATTAAGATCTGCAAGATCTGCAAGATTCTGCAATTTTTATTAGCTCTAAGCTAATTTTTGTAGCTCGATTTTCTTGATATAAGGGATTTCTTTTTACACTATTTTGAGTGACCGACAATGCTTTTTTAATTTTTTATTATTGTATTAATTGTATTCGATTCGTTTCTTTTTTCATTAATGAGTTTATTTAAAATTGGTAACAAATATGCATTTAATTCCAATTCACATTCTGTTCTCATTTCTGGTGTAAGATAATATAATTCTTTATATTAAAAGTCATTTAATAAATTATAATGCCACAGATTTGTTGTAAATTGAACCAATTTTTTTTTATCTATATTAAATACAACAAAACTTGTGACTATATAATAAATTACAGTATTATACCTTCGATCAAAATAATTATATTGGCCCTATTGTTCATTATCGAAGGCTAGAAATAAAAGTTCTTCGGGTATAGGTTCTTGTTCAATTGCAAAGGACTCTAACCAGTTAATAAATTTTACATAACTTTCAGAACTAATAATATGATTGTCAATATCGACAATCATCCTGGATCATGCCAATGAGTACTTAATTGCTGATAGAGTTAAATTTATTTTAGAGATATAGTTTTTATGTCTTGATCCATAAATTGCATCAACTGTGACTACTTTTTTGAAGAGCTTTTCTTTTAAAGTAGAATTGTTATTACTACTTTTATTATTACAGGTAAGAACTTCAATAAAGTTAATGATAACTGGGTTACGATTAGCTAACCAATTATTTGGTGTAAAATTTAACAAATTATTAAGAGAAAATTGATCTTTATTTAAAATTAATGAATCAATATCATTATAAACATTTTGACATTCTTTATTTGCAATTTTAATAATAGAATCAATCCTTTTTTCTTGATTACTAAATCGATTTTCCCACTTAAATAATAAATCATTATTTTGTTTAATCAACTCCTGACTTAATTTATTTATTTTTTGATCATATTCCCAACTTTCAACTACATAATTATATGCACAATTTAAATGTTTTCAAAGATCTTCTATTTCATTTATTTTTTTATTTAATTGCTCTTGAAGTAATATTATATAATTTTCAAGGTTTTGAATTATAGATTCAGATGTTTGTATGCCAACCTCACACATTTGTTTTCTGACCTGTATGCCAATTTCACATGTTTGTTTTTCGATATATTTAGTTTCAGAATCATGACTTTCAACTTGCCATTTTGGATTGTGCTACTGACTATTTAAATTTAAAAGATGATGATGAAAATAATTAGAAGCTATGAGCTAATTATAGTGCCAATTGCATATAGAATAGTCTTCCAAATATGTCTGAATTTTAACCAACTCAGAAAAAAAAAATTATATGAAGGAAGCTGATTTTTGGCTGTCTGAGAATCGGTATGTCATGTGGGTATCTTGGTTTCATATTTTTTTAATCCAACACTATTGTACGTCCCGACCAATCCAGCAAAAACACAAAGTAGATTTGCTGCTAGTTTTCACTCTGCTAGTTCTTGTACTGCTGGTTCTTGTACTGCCAATTTTTGTACTGCCGATTCTTGTACTGCCAGTTCTTGTACTGCTGGTTCTCGCTTTGCTAGTTCTTGTAGTTGCTTATAAGATTTCACTAAAAAGTTTATAATGAATAAAATAAATATTATTAGTCTTATTCACCATTACAATAAGAAATATTAAACCATTTGAATCTAAATTAACTAGAAACTTATACAAAGATTATGTCCCCGCAAATACAGTATAATATTTGTCTGAAGAAAGTGAAATAAATAAACCTACTTGGTGCAAAAAAGATATACTTACTTTTATAGATATGTTATTTATATATATATATATATATATATATATATATATATATTTTAATCCAAATATTGTAAAAGGCTTTATATATTCACCCTGGGATGAATGACAATTGTGAAAATGCTTTCACTTATATAGATGACTTTTTTGTAAAAAAAAAAAAAAACTTCTGCAAATTTGAGCTATACTTAAAGAAACGTACACTTAGACACTACTTAAAAGTGTTGAAGGTGTGTTGTTTTTGATTTATTTTTGGCTGATTATAAAACTACACACATAAAACTATATAATCTTCTAATCGCTCGGTATACTACAAATTAAGTTTGTGCGATATTTGACAAATAAAAATATAAAAAATCAGTAAAATTAATATAAAAATTTGATAATTGATGATCTTAAATAATTCTAAAATAAGAATTATTACACAAATTAATTCATCATATATATTACCAAATATGGAAATTTTCCAGACTGCACTATTGGTTTGATCCTAATTTGTAATCTTGGTTACACTATCTTGAATAAGAGCTTTGGTGCAATAAATCCAAGGAACCAAAATAACCAAAAACCCATTTGGCAAGTCTTGAGTTAGGAAGCAGCAATGATCTTTGACAGAGCTATAGAAAGACTGGATTTGAAACCGGAGACCGAGATCAGAGAACTGAGCGACTAGGTCTTTAAGTAGCTAGACATACTAGCCAAACCATCAGCCCACCACCAAAGGAAAAGGACTTGTGTTCTGGAAGCATGTACCAAGAGGAGTGAGACTGTAAGGCACCTAGAGCCTAGACAAACCAACCTTTCCGAGTTGCCGGCTAGAAGTAAGGGAGAGACCGATAAGAAATCCGGAAAAGAAAGCAGTTGGAATGTGGGTACTGAGACCGTTGTGAACCTTGCAAGAGCAGGAGTACATAGTTTGGCTAAAGTCTTAGGATTATTCACGGCAATGGCTAATCTCATATGAGTGTTAGGGTAGGATGTGTTACAAAAGTGGTAGCCAGAGGATTTAAATAGGTAACTCCCTAGTTGGGTTATAGATACGGTAGCTAGTGTGGAACCTAGAGCAGACTACTTAAATAGGCAACCAAAAGTTGCATATATAGCTAGTCGTACTC